CGCACGAGCTTCACCCATGAAGGAACCGACAGAGGAACCCAGGTATGTGGTACCTGCGGCTGACATCTCCAAGCCTGCTTGGATTGGGCCTCCTCCACTCAGGTCCCCTGTACCCAAAAACCCGCTCCCGGCACCATGTAATCTCATCAACGGCCAAGATCCAGGGACTATAAAACAAAGCTCACAGAAGAAAGCAACGCATTTTTTCCTGGAGTGTGTGGCCAACCAGTAGACCAAAAGCTTGCATTCGGTAGACTGGGAACACCTGTAAAAGTGATTAGAGGCCACCCCAATAGCCTCCATCCCTCTCAGAGAGCCCAGCAAGCTACCGAGAGTATCCTGCCCACATGGCAGAGCCTGGCAAGCTACCTGTGGTGTATGATGATATGCCCAAAACAGCAACAATAACAGGCCTAACTCCCCTGACCCTGAAAGTGCCCCCCAATATGTCACTGGGCTACGCTAGCATGCAACAGGGATGAATGCAGTTATTACCAGTGCCTGCTCGAGCAAATCAATGATCAATGGGATGACAAGTGACAAGTGACATAATATAAAATATATTTAAATTAAAGGGTTTTGGGGGGGTTTTGGGGGGTGGAGGTTCGGGGCCACACCAACCAGTGCTCAGGGCTTACGCCTGGCTCTATGCTCAGTGATCACTCCTGGAAGTGCTTGGGGAACCACATGGGGTGCTGGAGGTTGAATCTGGGTCAGCTGTGGGAAAGGCAAGAGCTTCACCCACTGTATGTATATCTTTTATAATTTGTTAAAAAAATAAAAAGACTGGGAAAGAAGGTGGAATTGGGAGGACTGGAGGGAATTAACCCATCACATTTATTTTACAGGAAAAGAAACTAAGACCCAGAGATTCTGGTCCTCAGGCTATAAAGCAGGTGGGAGACAGAGTTGGTGCTGCAACTCCTGGGACAGTGAGGGAAGGGGGTGACAGGCAAAATCAAACTAATAAGTAAAAAGATACTAAGTACCATAGATCTGAGGCATAATCGAAACTGTTCCATTTAAGAGAATGCTCAGGTGTACTATAATCTTTATTGGACTGATTATCTTCTCTGTTTCATCTGGGAGGAAGAGAAGAGCAATTAGCCCACCCAGGGTTTCACACAGGACAGGCACATGCTCTCCCACTGAGTTACTGCCCCACTCCCTAATTTTTATTGTATTTGGTTCTATTGTGACTTGTCTACTTTTTAGAAGTTTTATGAGGCATAAAATCTTTGCCGAAGTTAATTCACCAAAGAAAACAAGTAAATTAGGCCTGGTAAGCCTCATTGAATGGTAAGCCTCATTGAATGGGTTTAGCTTCATATAGTTTATGTGAAAATTGAGGCCTAAGAAGAAAATTGAATATAAAATCTCAATACTAGCTTGATCCCTTGCACGGCATACATACCCCAGAACCCTATCAGAATGATTCCTGAAGTCAGGAATTAGCCCTTAATACTAGCTTGATCCCTTGCACGGCATACATACCCCAGAACCCTTCAGAATGATTCCTGAAGTCAGGAATTAGCCCTTAATACTCATCGCTGTGACCCCCCCCCCCCCAAACAAACAAAAAAGGACAACATTTCTTAAAAAGAAAAAAAAAGACGAAGAAGAAAAGAAAAGAAAACATATGAGGCCAGAGAGATAGCACAGCAGGTATGGTGCTTGCCTTGCATATGGTCAATCCGGGTTCGATTCCTGTCACCATATATGGTCCCTGAGCATTGCCAGAAGTAATTCCTGAATGCAAAACTACGAGCAACCATTGAGCATTGCCCAAAAAATGAAAAGCACGCAAACAAACAAAAACTCCATAATATGATAAAGTTACTAAATAACTAAAGTAATGCATGGCAAGAAAAAGTTAGGGCAGTGGCCAGAGAGAGAGAGAGAGAGAGAGAGAGAGAGAGAGAGAGAGAGAGAAAGAAAGAGTAAGAGAGAGAGCGCACAGTGGTAAAGGTGCTTGCCCAGCAAGACCATGCCTAGAAGATCTAGACTGTAATACCACAATTGGAGGCAAAGTGAGTGGGGTGGGATGAATGAGAGTAATGTTGGAGCTTGGAGCAAATAATCTTTTTCAAATTTTAATATCTCTGTGCTTAAAAATAAGCCTCCCCCCAAGAAAAAAGAAGCAAAGAAGGAAAGAAAATTTCAATACTGTAAAGTTTCTAAGTTACTAATGTACAATAGAAGAAAGTTGGGAGAAATTGAAGGGCTCAACTGAAAGGGTCCAGTCTGTCACTGGGGCATAAGAATTATTGTGAGAAGAGGGACCAGAAAATATTTGAGTTTCCAGAAGAATTAAGGGAAACCCAGTGGTCATTCATCAAGCTCCCTCCAGTAGCACCAGGAAAGACAGATGCTTATCACAAAAGATGAGAGGTCTCTACTCTATACCCACACAGACAATTATAAAAAATATGCTGGGTCAGCTCAATAGCTCAAGTGGTAGAGCACATACCTAGTATGTGTGGTGTTAGGGATTTAATACCCAGGACTGCCAGATGTAGGACTGGTAGCCCCAAGATCTGCTGGGTATAGACCCTATAAAGAATTTTTTAGGGCTGAAGAGATGGCTCAAAGGGCTGGAGCCAAGTCACTGTACACAGGAAGCCTGAGTTTGATCTCTGTACTGTGTTCTCACCTCCAAAACAGTGGGAGTGACCCCTGAGCACTGAGCTATGCGTACCCCCTTAGTGCCACTGGGTGTGATTCAGGAACAAAGAGTTTAAGAAAAAAATGAAACCCCAAATCTAGAAACATTTCAAAATAAAAATCCATCTATCCTATCTTCATCTATTCTCCTTCAGAGACCTGCTCATCTTTCCAGAAAGCAATTTTTTCCCCCTAAATATCCTTTCTGCCTTCTCCCCTTATTAAGAACTCATTTGAGGGCTGTCAAAATGACTGAAAGGGCCAGAGTGTATGTTTTACTTGTGGGAACCTTAGATTTGATCCTGGCACCACTTGATCTCCTGAGCACTGACAGATGTGCCTCACCCTGCCCCCATAGAAGCTAGTTGTGCGATCCCGGAAACTCATACAGCACCAAAACAAACATTATTTGACTAACTGGAAGTGGTCTTTCCCATCCTTTTGTTGTATTGACAGTACTTAAACCTCATATTCTAATATATGATATTTTATTATTACTATTGTTTTATTATTATTATTACTCGGAGGTGCTCAGGTCTTACTTCTGACTCTGTGCTTAGATATCAGTCCTACAAGTGCTCCAGGGACCATATGACAAGCTAGGGACTGAAGCCAGATTGGTTGTGTGCAGAGCAAGTGCCCTATGCCCTGTACTACCTCTTTGGCCTTTGTATACCAGAATCACATTTTTCTGTCAATTCTTGGGTGCCTGTTAATAAATACATGATTAAATTTTGTGTTTTCTCTTGGTAACCTGTCTTTTTCCATTTACTATGCATCCCTTTAGAATAAAATTGAATATAGAGGAAAAGTGTTTCCTTCCCTTGCTATAAATTCACCTGCCATCCATTTTCTTCAACTGCACTTGCTTTTTAAATAATTATTACAATAACACAATGACAATAAAATTGTAATTTCAATTAAAGCAACCATTCATGCTACATAATCTTCTAAATGATGATCTTCTAATGCTTGCAAATAATTTTAGTCAAATGGTCAATTCTTTAGCCAGACTCCTATTAGAGATTTAGATGGCTTCTAATTTTTTTACTTCTCAAATTAGAAAAAAAAATTGCATAAAAGTTTTCTGGGGGCTGGAGCCATAGGAAAGCGGGTAGGGCACTTGCCTTGCAAGCGGCTGGCCCCAGGTTCAATCCCCGGCATCCTGTATGGTCCACCAAGCACTTCCAGGAGTGTTTCCTGAGTGCAGAGCCAGGAGTAACCCCTGGGCATCGCTGGGTGTGACCCAAAAGCAAAAAAAAAAAAAAATAAAAGTTTTCTGTCCTCTTAAAATTACTTCCATATGTGACATATATAAAAGGAGGACTGACAGATCAAAGACAGAAAATATGTTCCCCAATGCATAAACATACTGAAGAGGCGTTCACAAAAATGATTGCCCTTGCTGGCTTAAAGAGGGAAATTTGGGTTATAAATTTTTCAGACAGAGGACGATTAAGTCGCAAAACAACACAAAAAATGAATGCCATTCTTTTATAAACTGAAAGACCTAAATCTGAGATGGAATCATCATACATGTAGGCCATGAAAAAAAACTTAAAAACCTCATACAGTCTGAAAGATATGCGAACAGGATGAAAAATTATTCATAAGAGGAATTACTTGAGTTGGTTAAAAAAATGGAAACATATTAGAAGATTCATTTAGTAACACGTTACAACAATGGAAACATATTAGAAGATTTTCTTAGCAACAAGTTGTGGGAACTAGGGTGGGATGAGTTTGTTTTAAGAGAAAAGGGCCAATTTAAGAGAGCAATTACTGAAGAAAGTTCCATGACCAGACTATATTCCATTTTCATTAGTTTGCATTTAGAGCAAAGGATAAAACTACAGACAAAAGGCAATTTCTGCTGTAGTTGTTTGACCACCAAAGGAACAATTCAGTAGCTAGACCTTTTCTTTCAGCTCCTTGCCAGCATTTACTCATTTGTCCCTCATTAGCAGAGCCCAGGCAATTGATTATGCCTGGCAATTGATTATGAGATTTTTAAAAACCAGCAACAACAAAGACCTGGGTTTTTCAAGAACCACAAGCTTATTCATCTTAAAAGGAGGAAGGGGGTGGGGAGGGGGGGAAATAACCCACCAAACCACATTACAGCTCAATGGACAAATTTCTTCCCACCTCGTAATCTAAGGGCAAAATCAATTTTTTATCTAAGTACCATTTCCTCCTGCTCTTTTTTTTTTTTTTTTGCCTTAGACTTGCCACAAACTGTTTCTAGGTCACAACTATTTAAAATACGCATTTATGGACTAAAATGGTCAAGGTGAAAGCTAGGACAAAAATCACTGAGAGTTCTTTGTACTCACTTCCCCGGCCCAGCAACGTTGTGTCTCAGGGTTGGAAGATTCTGTCTTCGGTTGTCACAAACCCCAGGACTCTGACAGGACCCAAACTAGGAATCTGCACTTACAATTTTGCTGCGGCGAGAGTCCTTCCCCCCCCACTTTTTTTTTTTTCTAGCTAGAAGTTAGTCCAAAAAACTGCTTTGTAATTAGATCATCTGCAGGAATCCTCTTCAGGTCAGCTGCCAAAGAATCAGTTTGAAGAGAATAAACAAGAAGGCACTTAGCAGTTAAGTTTTGAGAGGAGAGACGCTATTGTGAAGCCGGGTGTAACCACCCAGCTCCTCTAGAAAGGAATGAGGGTGGTTTTCGGCACTGTTACGTGGTGCACACTCTTTCCAGACTCCTCGCTTGGCTTCTTTAAATCTGGTTTTGCAATGATACAGTGGGAGAGACTGAGGTTGGGGTTTAAATGTGGTTCTTCCTTGCTTCCATCACACTCCATAATAAGTCATCATATATTCCAAGAGTGGGAAGTGGGAAGGCAATGAACATGCTGTACAAAATGAATTCCTTTGCTCAACAATCTCTCTCTCTGGTGTGTGTGTGTGTGTGTGTGTGTGTGTGTGTGTGTGTGTGTTTTGGTTTTGGAATGGAAATCCTGGCTATTGGCTGCCAGGCTGCTGGCTGGAAATCAGAGATAGGCAAGGCTCTGATTGTTCTTTCTTTGGGGGGCAAGAGGGGGTTTGCTTATGAAGTCAAGTTAAAGTAGCAACAGTGGAATGAAAAGAAGTTTGGCCTATCAAAGGAGAGCTCTTCAAATGCTCTGCAGACTCCAGGGCTCATTAGGAGAGAGATTTCATAGTTGGTTTCAGGGTATTTTCGAGAACGGACGAATTAGGATCTCGCTTAAGTTGTGTAGTTTAGTTTTTTATTTCTTTACTTTGGTGGGTTAAGAAAGTACACTTCGGGCTCTGAGGAAATGAAAGCTTTGATATTTATCCCTCATCTCATCTGTGATCTTGGCAGGTGTGGGCACTCTGGCACTGAAGACAAGACCCAGAGTTCAGAAATTCGGCGGATGGTAAATGTGGAGACTGAAGGTAATAAGCGAGTCTTGATGTAGTTAGCTTCTGTCAGTAGAGCGAACTGTTTCTGGGAAGTCTAACATTACGGTGTGTATTGGCAACTGAACACTGTTAGGTGAGATAACACTCTTAGGCTAGCTCATCAAACTGTGCTTGTTAAGTGAGTGGTCAGACAAGCACACAATTTTGGACTTGTTTGCCAGGAAAAACTGAAAGTTACAGAATTGGCCACCCCCAAAATGTGCCTCTTTGGCATAAGGATTCTCTTGAGCTGATTATTTTTCAAAACCTTTAGATATAGATAATCCCATACTGGATTAGAAGTTAACTCTGTGAAATGGGAATCCACATTCATAGAGGAAATTTACATTACAAAAGCGGGGTCTGTTTTGGAGAAGGTGTCTTCTTCTGAGCTATATATCAGGGTAACCTTTGCTGACTATAAATATCCCCTTCCCTCCTTTCCTCTTTGGAAATCTCAGTCCCAGTAACTGAACTTTGGTCTGGCTAAGCGCATGCTCTGTAATCTGGCTGCTTTTGAGTCATATTTTTGTGAATTAGTATAGCAACTGGGAGAGCCCGGCAAGCTACTGAGAGTACCTCAGGCTTGCATGGCAAAGCCTGGCAAGCTCCCTGTGATGTATTCAATGTGCCAAACACAGTAACAGCAAGTCTCACAAGGGAGACGTTACTGGGCCCACTTGAGCAAATCGATGAACAACGGGAGGACAGTGCTACAGTGCAGTATAGCACAGTGGGTAGGGCATTTGCCTTCCACGTGGCTGACGCGGCCGCCCCGAGTTCGATTCTTCTGCCCCTCTTGGAGAGCCCAGCAAGCTACTGGGAGTATCTCGCCCTCACGGCAAAGCCTGGCAAGCTACCCATGACATATTCCATATGAAAAACACAGTAACAACAAGTCTCACAATGGAGACGTTACTGGTCCTGCTCGAGCAAATCGACGATGAACAACGGGAGGACAGTGCTACTATACATACATAATTGTGTTATCTCTTTTTTCAGAGGGTCTCAGCAAAAGACCATGAAGGGCTCATGGAAAATTAGTTTCCCTCCCTACAACACCATGCCTAGAAAATCTAGGCTGTTATACCTCTAATGGAGTCAAGGTGAGTGGGGTAGTGATGAATCAGAGTAACACTGGAGCTTGGGACAAACAAGCTTTTTCAAATTGCAATATTCCTTAGTCCATAAGGATGTACACTCTCCCATATTTGCCCAGTTCCTTGATTACGCAGAAACCACTGCTAATAATCTCAGTTTATTTGTTTTCAGTATTATCTGAGCACAGACAGATACCCTATTGAATGCCCAATTCAATAATGGGGTATTCATACAGCTCTCTGCTGGAAATGCCTATCTAGTCACCATTTGTCATTCCTTTGCATCAGCAATATTAGTATTTACCAATAGTTCTAGCAATTAACTCTAATCACATGAAAGCCCTTTTTAAAATTCAACATTTCTTCCTTTTTATTTTGGGACTGTGAGTTACAATATAGTAATGTTTCATTAACATAGAAGGCTCAACTAGAAACAACAGTTTAGTAAACCCTCAGTCAAGGACTTAATGTCCCCATGGTGAGATATAACAATTTTCACAAATTTTCTTTTACCGAGGAATTTTTTTTGTAATTCCATTAGCCACTTAGTGATAACAAGCAATATAAAATAAATTACTGTGGGCCTGCTATGGGTATAAGCTTGAGGGGTGATTAGGAAAATGGCAACAATGGTGAAAGGAAGGTCACAATGGTGGTGGGATTTGTGTTGGAATACTGAATGCCTATAACAAATACATCATGAACAACTTAGTAGACCACAGTGTTTAAATTAAGTGGGGGGGGGAAACAGTAATGGTTCAGGAATATCGATGTTGTTTCACCATCAGAGGACATGCATTCTCCCACCACTGTCCCCAGGTACTCTCCTTCACTCCAAGTTTCCCCTCTTTACCCCATCACTTAGAAAACTCAGTCCTATAAGCAAACTCTCAGCATCTATTATCGCTGGCCATTGTCTATTCCTTTATTATAGTTCTTTACACTCCATATGTGAGTGAGGTCAGTTGATTTTTGTCCTTTTGCCCTAGACTCACTTTGGTCAACATGATGCTCCAACATGATGGATGTACTTAAGTTGCAATAAACTGAAGTATTTAATCTTTTTTCATAACTGAGTGTATTCTTTGTATATATAGTGCATAACTTAAAAAAAAATTTTGACCCACTCCTGGCAATACTTAGGGGTACTCTTGGCTCTGACTTAGGAATTATTTCTGGCAGTACTTGGGGAACCATATGGGATGCCAGAGATCAAACTCAGGTCAGCTGTGTGTAAGGCAAGCATCTTACCATTGTACTATCTCTCCAGCTTCTATATTGCACAACTTCTTTATCCACTTAATCATACTTGGGGTACCTGTGTTGTGTCCAGATTGTGAATAATGCTGCAATGAACAAAGGAGTGCAAATACCTATTAAAATGAATGTTTTTGTAATCTTGGTGAGATGCCAAGAAGTGGAATCACTGGATAATAGAAAAGCTCAATTCTTAATTTTTTGAGATGTTTTCAAACTCTTTTCCATAGGCTGAACCAACCAGTGGATGAGGGTTTTACAAGCATTGATTGTGTATGAGCTTTTTGATGTATGCCAATCTCCTTGGGCTGATATCTCATTGTTGTGGGATGATATCTTATTTTTGTTTTGATTTGCATTTCCCCCATGATAAGTGGTGGAGTACTTTTTCATATGCCTGTTGTCTGTCTGTGTATCTTGTGAAGAAGAACGTGCTCTGCTCCTGTCTCTGTTTGATAAAGCTGTTGTTAAGTTTTGTGAGTTATTTATAGATTTTGGATATTAGCCTTTTGACAGATGTGTGGTGAGCAAATATTTTCTTCCAAACAGTTGAATGTCTTTTATCCTAGTTAAAGTTTCTTTCAGCAGCAGAATTTTTTTAATTTAATGTAGTCCCTTTTGTGTGTGTGTGTGTGTGTGTGTGTGTCTGTATCTGTGTGTCTGTGTTTGCTTTCTAAACCAACGGCATCAAATCATTGCAGAGGTTTCTGAAGTCAACATCATGGAGACTTCTGCCTATGTTTACTTCAGTGTCATTTATGGATCTGGGACACATTTATTGAAGAGGTTTTCCATTCTCCATTTCATGCACCTAGCTCTTTTGTTGAAGATTAACTAGCCATGTAGCTGAAGGCTTATCTCTGGGCTTTTAATTCTATTCCCTATAGTTTGTTGAGCATTTCTGAGAAACTCCCCATTTTGTGAGTACAAATGTTCAGTTCTTCTGCTAAGGGGCCAATCATCCAATAGACAGTGACATGTCAAGAAAGATTTTTATTGGCAACAAGCCAGTAGGTTGGAAGATGGCAGACTTCTGTCCTCTTGCCAGAAGGATCACAGAAGAATTTTTTTAGGGAAAGAGAACATAACTCATTATTAGGATGGGTGGTTGCAGACTGGTGGGCACCAGAGAAATCAGTGAATTTTCTCATGAGCTGGTCCTCTGAAACACACTTCTGATATAAGTACAAATGAAGATTTCTGGATTTCTGATGATTGCTTCTGCTCACTTATCCTTTAGGAGGAAAGTGGAGGAGCATTCTCAACATTTTCAACCATTCCTTCCAGAAAAGTTTTCTGGTTTCTATTAAATTGAACATTATTACTATAGGTTAGGCAGTATAAGTATTACATAATGTTTACAGTTGTTATGTACAGTTATCGTACCCCCACCAAACTACCCAAAACCCTTTAACAATGTCTTAATTTCTTCAGGCTAGCTTCACTTTGACATTTTAAGCACACCTTGTAGTTGATATGTTATTCAAAGGTGGTTGAAGCTAAAGTGTGGATCTTCTAGAGATAACTTACAGGCTACCTCAAGCATGTAACATGTGCAACAATCATTAGCTAGGTAGTAGGGTGCCTTGGTTAAACTAGTAAGTCAGCTCATTAGCTGATAAGAGAAACTTCACTGTAAGTTGCAGAG